ACATTAGGTGCCTCTCTCTAACTTCAGCTCTCAACTGACCTGAGCTTTTGAAGATTAAAAACAAAATAGGAAAAATAAGGAATTAAAAAACACGGTCATTGAATCTAGAATGGGGATACCAAAAGTGAAATGGGGAGTCATTGGGATACCCCAACTCACAGGTTTCTGTCCTCTGAGGCCCGCTTTAGCATGGAACGATCCTTTAAAGAAGTCAACAGAAAAAACTCCAGGTAACTGCAAAGGGAAGAATTTGCCAAGAACGAGAAGGAAGTAATTAGAATTAAACAACATCCACACAGCTAGGTAAATTTCTAGGATGTTAGGCCAGATGTCGGCCATTCCAGGGGGCTCAGGCCGCCCTTGTTCTCGCCTGGCCTCCCTTCTCACCTTCAGAAAATGTGTTACAAAGCACGGGTTTCTCCATTCAACTAGTGCAGAAATTCTGAATTGAACTGTGGCGTCGCAGAATTCTAGGAAGAGGTAAGGCTCCATCAGCTCTTAAAAATAGTTCTATGGGGAAAAAAGCCCTATGAACGGCGCAAATGCAGGCTGACCTCACCTCAGGGGCCCAGACACCAACCCCAAGGTGGGGTAGTCTTCCAGCTGCCCGCTCCCTCTAAATCCATCCCAAGTTTCCTGCCAGCTTCTTTCCCGCAAGAACCCAAGATTCCGGGCGTCCGATTTGTTGTCCAACCACGGAGGACATTAGATCCAGGCCTCCGGCTGGCTTTCTGGATTTTTCCCCTAGGGCACTGGGACCCTAGCGTTCAAGCGCTACCATTCTCAAGGCGCTCCCATGGGCCCAGGGGCAGGATTCCCATTCGCTGCCTCTCCATCTCCCTGGAATTTTCCACTGCAGCTGCCTCCGCTCCTAGACACCCCTCCCTGGGCAAAATTCCCGCTTCCTCCGCCCCGCTTTCCTAATCACACCTCATTCCCACCCCCGGCTCTGAGGCCCAGCCCACAGTCCAGCAGACACCCAACACTAACCCTAGTGGTCCCAGTTAGAGGAACAGGAGGCCAGAACCCTCAGAAAAGGCTGAGCGACAGGGTCCTTGGCTCTCCACTGGGCGCAGAGTAGGGACATCGGAGGGGTTGGTCCCCCGTGGGGCTGGAGTGGGGTGAATGGCCCTCCTCACATCCCCATATAAGGCAGGGCGAGCAGTTAGGCTCCTGGATTGGCTGATTCAAATGAGCATTCCACCTGGCAACAGGGTTTCTATTGGCTCTCGGGAAAAATAGGAGGAAGGTGGATGGAGGTTGTTGGGTGGCGGTGATTGGAAGGGGGAAGGGAGTGGAGGTGACCGGAATGGGGGGTGGTTACCAGGGCAACGGGGTAAGAGCCCAGCAGGGTGTCTGAGACAGCAGGCGGGGCAGGGAGGTGGAGTGGAGGGAAGGGGAAAGGAGGGCGGGAGAGAGGAGAGAGACGGGTTGGGAGGGAGAGAGACATGGAGACTATGGGGTGGGGGGTTGTGGGGGGGAGTGAAGGAGGGAGAGGAGAGAAATGAAGCAAAAGAGAGCAGAGATGGAGACAGTGAGAGATCGCTCAAGACATCAGCGAGTGAGTCAGAGAAACAGCGATGGAGAGAGGGAAATGGAAAGATCTCAGAGGAAAAAAACGGACAGGGTCTGACGAGGGAAAACCCGGGCGGGGCCCAAAGATTTTTGAGGCGACCTAGACTGAAAGCCTGAGAAGAGTCAGAAGAGAAATTGGGAGGTGTGTACACCGAGGGGCCCAAAGATGGTGTGTCTGAGCACTCAACTACTAAATAAAGACGATGGCCAATGGTTGGTTTGTTTGTTTGTTTAATGACGGAAATACAAAATGATCAAGAAAAAGGTAAGAAATGGTGATGCTGACCATCAGGGCCAGCACGCATACCAAGCCCCAGCCTCCCACTTCCACCACCTTCCTGACCTTCAGGACACCGCGCTCAGCCTGAAAGCCCAACTTCTCAACAGGGCTCCTGGACACTGAGCTTGCCTGAAAGGGGCAAAGGATGTAAGGAACAGGGTGGGGCTGGGATGCCATCCTGCACCCCTTGCTCAGGAGGCTAAAATAATACAGAAAGGCGGGGGAAGATGGCAGGACGTAGAAGACAGAGAAATGGAGAGATGAGGACCACAAGAGGAGTTTGAGGAAAATCCGCCAAAGCGATAGGACCAGGTAGGACAAGCTAGGACAAGAACCAGTGTTGCTTGGGAGAGATAAGGAAAGATCAGAGATGTTAGGGTCGAAGCCGGTGGGTGCAAAGTGAAGAGGTGAGGGAATGAGCGAGGTGTCACACGGAAAGGGTCTGAGGTAGAGGTATGAGGCGGGCTAGAGACAGAAAGAAGCAGGAGGTTAGCTAGGTGAATAAGAACGCTCCAGGTCGGGAGAGGTGGGAGAAATGAAAGGATACTGGAGGCCCTTGACTCTGGATCAGGAGAGCCTAAAGCGAGAAGAAACCCAGTAGAGTTCACAAATGCCAGTCTTGGGTCAGGAGAGAAGGCTGGGCTGCCCTTTTTGCTCTCGCTTCCTCTGCCAAGGCCACCAAGACAAGGTAGGCAGTGGGGAAATCCAGGGGGACCTGAAAGTCACTAGCCTACTCTTCTTGCAGCGTTTGGCTTCTCAGACACCTGCCATTCCTTTCTACGCCCCACCAGGTCCTTGGCAAAAATCTCAGGGTTGTTTTTTTTTGGGGGGGGTGTCAGTAGGAGTCCGTCCTCCAGCCCACCCCCAGAAGACCGACTACACTGCCAAGCAGTAGGTCGGAATTAGGAGAGATCCCTCCCCACAGGAGCCCCACCCCTTTCCACCTCCTCGCCCCCACTCCCCTTCTCCGCGGCCGTCAGTCTCCATTCCCGGGGACGTCCCCGCCCCCCACCCCGCCTCCCTCGAGCTCCCTCCCCTCGCTTTCAT